AAACGCGGCCATTATTTCGAATGCATCCCGCGGGTCGGCGTATTTCCGTGACGCCGGCCGGCTGACTCGTCGCGCGATGCACTCTCGGCTCTCTGCGAAACGCGCTCCCACCGCGTTCCGCAAAGTTCCATCGTCACCTTCCCGTCGCAGTGAAATGCACTCGACAGCGGTGCTCAATCGCGTCCGCCGCCGAGTCAAGCTCGTGGCGGACTCGGTGACGTCGCGCGCGTGCACGCGGACTTGAATGACTCGACCTGTCGCAAGGTTGCGACCGATAAGTCTCATCGCGAGCAGCGATCTACTCGGCTGTCTCGAGTGGCAACGTGACGACTGATCCATGAGCGACACCGAGCGCACCGTCGTCGAGGCTTCCTGGCACGGGCGTTGTCGCACTAGTCATTCCTAAGATCCTCGGCCAAGTGTTCTCGGCGCGAATGTATTTCGCAACGGGATAATTATACATTCGTATATTGAGAAAGCTTTGATTCACACGCGTTTCCGTGCGCATGTGCGGTTAATGCGAAATTAATCAGCGCGAAAGCTGTTAACGAGTAATTAATCGCCGAAAACTGCGCGTTCGCTGGCGCTCCCGTCGTTGCTTATGCACGAATAACCAAACGACGTGTACCATAGCCGGGAAATCATATTTTTCCGCAATTCCATAGTTCATTGCGCGTCGAAAACACAATGTTGCTTATCATCATCATCATTAACGTCGTTAATCTTTCATTGCGTTACGTGACGCTTGGTTGACTCCGCATTCAATGAGCATTTCATCGCTTTCGTATGTACTTTTATCACTGTACAGTGACATTGGTTATCGAGATTGATCCTCGCTTTCCAGTATAGATCGACGATCTGCGAGGTTGAAATTTCGAGTGTTTCGGCACCTCGAATGCGCTGCTTGAGTTCAGTTAAAGGTTAACGGCGAATTAACATTTCGACGCGAATCGGCGCGTCACGACTGCGTGGAAATAGTCGCGGTAAGAACGCGCGAACTTTCAGAAGCTCGAAGAAGCTCACCACCCTGCGCCCCTAAAGCCCAACGGACAAACAGCCCGCGCTACTCAGCGGACTACTTGACGGTTGAGCGACCTTCGTCGCTCGAGTCCGCTCACAAAGTCTGTCGCAAGTCTTCTACTTCCTGCAACGTGCGCGTAAATACGGCATCATGCGCAGGGCTCGTCGCTGCACGCCTCGGAATTCCTATCGTTCCATTAATCGTGGCGCCTCACGATTTAGAGCCCATGACGACAGTGCATGCGTCGACACACTCCACGGCCGCGGCGCAAAACCTCTCGTACGATTCTCGAACGGGGACTCGCGGTCGCACACGGGAAATCGACGCGAGTTTTTCCGTTTGATGATCAAAAAAGAAGCCCACCACGACGTCAAGCTCGCGTCCACGGCAGAAATCCACGGCCGGATACCGCTAATAACAGAGCTCTCTCTCTCCGTGTAGAACCCGATGTCGATCCACGCGCTACGAAATATCACGCAAATTTGTCGTTGGCATTCGATCGTAAATCATAGACGCGCCACAGTTGGTCGAGCGCGATTCCCAAAGCGTCATTATCACCGCCGCCGCCGCCGCCGCCGCCGCCGCCGCCGCCACCACCATCGTCGCTACCATCAACGATGCAATGCGGTGTGGTGCGCGGCGACGCGCGTAAAAGCGCGCTGTACAATAAAAGTCGCGAAAAACCGGACGCGCGGCGTACTGCCGCGGATCCGGTTCGTTTTTCCACGGCGCGCCGCAATTTCTACGAAATGGAGCCGCGCCGGTCACGCCTGAGCTGTCTAACGGAGATAGAGAGAGAGAGAGAGAGAGAGAGAGAGAGAGAGAGAGAGAGGGGAGGAGGGGAGAGAGAGAGAGAGATATTGCGTTAATGCGTTCCACGTGGGGTCACCCCGGTAGCCGGTGCACCGGCGAGTACTACCGTATCCGCTTCTCGCGCATAAAACCGCGCTCGCACACACCAGCTTGCGCTTACGTGCGTGGAGTTGTGTTGTTGCCGCCGCCGCCCCTGCCAGTGCCTCTCATTACAAATCTTACCGCGCCCACGTAACGGTATCGCGACTACGTGTGTCTCTCCAACACACTTCACCGAGCGTAATACCTACGCGCTACCTGAGGGCTAAAATCCCTCTTCGCTGGAGAACTCTGATGTATTAGTTGCAGGTGTTACCGGGGATTAGCGGGCATTACGCGAATGGGGTGTTAACTTAATTACCGTGGCCGATCTTCATTTCAAGGATATCTCTTCCGCGCGCGCGTTGATCGACTCTACCTCGTGAGTCTCGCAGACTTCTCGATTCAACGGTATTGTTGTATCGCCGTGTGTATCGGGCAAATTTTACGTCATAGTTGTGAAATTTTTAGTCGACGTTACTTTGGATCTGCTGTCGCTTCGGGCGAGTGTGAACTATTCACTTGCAGTGTACGATTTTTCTTTGTAAAAACAAAATATTTCGCTCGTCCCGATAGAATTCTAAATGTCACGTTTCAAAATTTTTTTACTGTTTTTTGTATCTGCTAGAAAATTGCCTGTGTTATGTGACATTTTAGTCATTCATTTTAGTCATTTCAGCACTATCTGCGAGCACAAAGGTAGGCGTGAGAATTATACGTTCATTTGTCTGTCATCGCTGGTTTTGTTTGCCCACTACTGTCAATTTTTATAAGTATGACTTGCTATAATCAGGATGGACGCCATAGAGAGATTTTCTTACTCGATTTCACATATAGTTCAGATAGAAATGCTGTGTCATCCATATCGATTAAATACATGACATGTACGATATCGCAGTGTTTGCTAGTCATTTGTCTGTCTTAGCTAATTTCTCGTATCTGAATAATTTTCTAGATAATTGTTTTTAAGTGTATAACCTCTGCTTCGGGTTCTCAAGTGGAAGTAAGAACCGCAAATCTTTATTTCGAGAAAAGTTTTCAGACTTGACGGCAAAGAAATAATTGAGGTCCGAGTGAGAGCAAATTTTGCTTATCGCCGGCAATTTCCATGAGTTAAGAAGCATTTATCGAGGCGTGCACGTATCGCGTTTCCGCGAGCGTGCAAAAATGCGCGCGGCGGGATGTCACGTAATTCGAGCCGACCCCGAGAGAAAATTGTTGGATCGCGCGTCGTGCACGGATCGTGTGACGTCAACGACACACGAGCGTTTCCCTCTGTTAACCCACTCGTTAACCCATCCACTTATCGACTTTCAATTTTACCGTCTCGAGTCCATGTAACAAGAGGGCCCCGACTTGATAAATTTACTGCGTTTGGCGACACGTCGATGATTCAGCGTGCGAAACGATATAATTTTTGTCAAATATATGGATCGTGTCAAATTATTCAGTCAGAGTGAAACGAAACAACAATAACACGCTGCAAGGGAAAACGCTGAGAAGTCTCGAAGTCCATTACAATTGGTTCGGATATTATCATTTCGTCACAGTCATTGTCCTGACGAGCAAGAAACGAAGCCGGCCAAAGACGACGGGACGCGCAGGTAAAAAAGGAAAAGAAAGGGTTGACTGGATTTTCCGAGCCTCAATTGTCTACACAGCGCGCTCGAATTGGGATGCAACGCGTACGATGTGAAGCCTCCTTTCTCCCCGCGCCTCCCTTTCCCTTTCCCTTCCCCATGCACTATCATCTATCCCGTCAAAGCAGAGGGAGCATCTCGGCTCATGCGCACCACGCAAATGGGTCAACCACTCGATCGTCCACTTTAGAAACGAGGTCACGAAAATTAAATTTTCTGATTAACGACACACGCGCGCAACGGCAATCCTCGTTCTCCCAGCGACGTTTTACGACTCTTTCTTTTTAATAGCTTTCGCGTATCTTGATATTTCGTCGTTCGGCGTCATCCGCCGGATGTGAGGTTTTGTAAACTCGGATTATCTTTGACTGCTCGCGAGAGACAGATGGAGGGCAAGAGAGAGACGCGGCGCGAGGGGCTCGATCCTGGATGTGCGTCGGCTTCGCGGAACGCGCGCCTCCGTCGCCGGGAACTGCGGAGGAATCGCATTGCGATTCTGACGAAAGTGGATCACGCTCCGGGATATTCGGTGACGTCACGCCCGTCGACGTTATCAGGGCGAGAGCGTATTTCGCGTCGCGAAAGAAGAAGCGAGCGAGCATTCGCACAATCATCGCGCGCGCAAGCGCACTGGCCGCTCCGCTTTGACGCGTGCTAACCTGCCTGCCTTCGCGTCGTTGTCGACGCGATGGCGAGACCCGGCGAGAGAGCGCGGTACACCCGGGATGACGCCATATCGTCGCACACGCCGCCGCGTGATATTACGCCGTGCGATTCGTTAATCTTCTTAAGGCACGTTAACCCGCCGTTAATACTAAGAATATCGCGTTGCACGACACGGTGTCTATAAATGGCTCTCTGAGAGAGAGAAAGACAGAGAGAGAGAGAGAGAGAGTGAGAGAGACGCTCGCAGCTTTTTTTAATTTCTGCAGGCGCGCTCTCGCCGCGCGAATAAAAACGAAAAATAGTCTCCGTCCACGGAGACGCTTCTTTGTCTCCATGACGGAGGAACGTTTCCGAAGAACGTTTCTTTTTCCAGAAAAGCTGTCATGACACGACCGGAAGCCCGAAAGAATCATTCCCATCGGAACAAGGGGAAACTTCGAGACGAAAGTTTTCAGAAGTAGCCGGGTAACTTGTTGATCCACATCGGATCGGACAGTCCCGACTTCGCGTTCGACAGAAGAACCTCCAGCCAGAAATTACTGTATTTTGAGATCCGATATGGCGCCAATTTCGAGAACCAACACGTGACTCTCCGCGGCAAACCGACGCGTCTTCGCGCGCGCTTCCATCCGCAGACAAGATTTACGACGCGCGGTCGTGCGAATGCCAACGATAAATTTCGCCCGCTTGTCGTCACGCGGCCGCGCGGCGATCAAGAATTTACAACGCGCGCAATGCTCATACAATGCTCATACAATGCTCACACAACAGACGACACTCACCTCCTGTCCGTTCGGGGCAATGACCACGTCCACCTCGTCGAGCTGTTGGCGATGTTGCGTGACCTCCGCGTGTATCTCCCTGCCGTTGTACGTGAGGTAGACCTTCTGACCGGGCACCAGTCGCGTGCTGGTGACGGTGCCGAAGCCCGGGCCGATGAGGTCGCGATCCAAGAACTCGGCGGACGGCGGATGCCCGCCCGGCACGGAGTCGAAGCGCACGGAGTAGAGCGTCTTCGACGTGACGCTCTGACCCGATTCACCGGCGACCGGCTGCGGCGCCTTGACGGCGCAAATAACGCCGCAGTAGTACTTGCCGTCTTCGCCGGGCGCGCACACCCTGGTGCCGATGATGCTGCGCTTAGCCAGCCTCTTGCCCGTCGACATTATTCGCAGCTTCCGCCGGGGAGGCGACGATAACTCGCTCGGCGATGCGCAGCGCGGATCGCTAGCTGATCCTATCGTTGCTGCTGTCTTCCTCTGCGCCGCTGACCCAACGATCACTCGCACGCTCTCGCCGACGATGTTGCTCTCGCGACGCGCGAAGCCGGCGTCGTCGTGCTGCGAGGCACTAGGACGCGCGACACGACGCGAACCACTCACACGATGCACTATTCCGTTCATTCACGTCTTTTCGTCCACCCGCGACGCGTGGGGCACACTTGTTCGTTCGTACGTACGTACGTACGTTCGTTCGTTCGACAATGTTCGAAATAACCGACGCGCTTGTAGTCTGCAGACACTGACACGGCTTGCGACACGGAAGAGAAAAACGGAGAATGGAAGGGACGATCCGTAACGCGCGAACGATGCACGAGATCTACAGAGTCGCACCACGCCACGGTGTGTGCGTCGACACGGCACACGTCACAAAAGTTGAAAACTCGAAGCGCGATAAAGCACACATGGGCGCACTTACGAAAACTAGTTGGTACTCTTCACTCACTTGGCACGCACTGTCGAGAGAAAACGGCACTGCCCCTTCGGATTCACGCTACGAGCGTGCAAAACTCTTGGAAAAACGCTTCTACCGCTACCTGCTCTGTTTTTTGTTCGCCTTAGGTCATCATACTCTCGTAGATTTTTTCACTAGCGCGATGGTGTCACGACGACGTGTCTGTGTATACCCGCCGCCCGGCGTAGACGGCCGGTGGGCAGCTTATGATTCACGGCGGTCGTCGTACGAGCCGAACCGCTTCTTAGACGCTGGATGGACGCGGCGGCCTCCGCGGCCTGAACACAGAACTCAGCGTATCAACAAAGCGGCGTGCGCTGTCGCCCGGGTTTGTCACGCCGTCCGCATATTCGAGGCACTTCGTGATCGATTCGTGGTGATGCGTCGACGTGCACGCGGCTGATAGCATAATATAGAATTATAGATGCACGCGGACGACAGGCGGAAACGCGAGATGGTAGACTGCGGCCTGCTGACCGGAACTCCCGAGAGCTGTACGTAGCGGCGCGGTAGTTGGAACGTGACAGAGACTCGCGGCACCCGACATGTGATGCACAGCTGAGCGACCGGGGAAGGACTGAGGACCGACTACCAAGCGGCTTTCACTGCGCCGGCCGGCCGCCCGCCCGTCCGGGAAAAACAGCTGATAGATAACAACAAACCCACGTGACCCGGCCTCGAGCGCCGATTGGCCGAGCGCGCTGACCTACTTACTCCGATTGGCCCACCGCCCGGACAACGAGAGGAACGGGAAAAAATCGCAAGCTAGAACTCTGAGCAGAGGCGGCCGCTCGACGAGACGTTCCACTCCTATCTCCTCCCCACTCCTCGTCCCCACCGCTCCCCTCCCCCACGAGCTTGCGTACTCGGCATCCCCGGCGTCCCCTCGTTTCTACGAGGCGACGCTGACTCTGCGGCGTAGTGCATCTGGTTAGGAACGCATACAATACTCGGACGCGAGATGCTTCGGGGTGAGCTCTCTCTCTCTTTCTCTCTTCTCTCTCTCCTAGGAATGCTCGCTCAAATGAGCGAGAGCGAACGCGGTTCTCCGCTTGACCCATCGTCGCAGCGGCGATCAGCTGTTGACGCTAAATACGCCCAGACGGCCGCTTCGCCGTCAGCTGAGAACGCCGGTGACGAAACGACGCGGGTGACCGGCCGCTCGGCAAAGCTCCTCGCTCTGCCAGACGTGCCGCTCGGCGGCCCGATACCATACTGCGTCGAATTTCCCGTGAAATACGTCGTGCTGCATCGGAGAGTCGTCGCGAGGATCCGCGGGCATACGGATCAGCCGCACGGACGATCCTGATGATATCGTGCGTCGCGTTTCTGCAGAGAAAATCGCGCTTTCAGCTTCAGCTGTCAGTGCTGGTCGGCCATTTTGCGTCAGCTGAGTCGCCCGGTGACGACACACGGCGAGTGGAGAGTCTGCGCGTAGGACGTGGCTCTCTCCGTGTTGTTGTCAGCGGCCGATGGCGGCGGAACGAGAAACATTCGCCGAGGCGGAATCGTGCCGCCAGTGGTGGACATCTTCGAGTTCTCTACCTCTGGTGTAACGACGCGACGTGCACACGCACGTGTGCACGCTTGTTGCACCTAGACGATATGTCGCTTCTTGCTGCTTCGAGAGATCGAGCGCGCCCTGTTCGTGTCTTGCTAGTCAGATATCGACGCATATCGGTACCGGTGCGCTCGAAAAGTGCACGTATGCACACGGGAGACGCGCGGCGATGCATGTAGCGAACAGCGCGCGCGCGCGCGCGTGTCGTCAGCTGAGGGCGCCAGTGACGAAACACGAGAGAGTGGACGGTCTGTGAGAGCCGGCGACGCCGGCACGACGCGCTCGTGTCCGTCCGATGCGTAGTAACGCGCTTTTCCTCAATTGACTCCCGGACGGCAGACGCCTGGCGAATGTCCGTCGGATGCCTGCATCATGAAGCTTCGAGGCCGCGGACTATTAAACGCTGGGTTAATTTGAGACCTTTGTCGCGTCGGCTGATCGATCGGCCGCCTGGCGGCGTCGTTGTATGCTCGCAAAGGTAAAGCGATCGTTATACGACCGCGCGAAGAACGAGCGATTGAAAATGGCCGGAAGATGTTGCGGGCGGTCAAGAGGGAGGGAGGGAGACTGACAGCCAGGCAGCAGGAGATGAACCGGTGGTATAAGGCCGAATAGAAGGCAACGCAGTCCGCACACATTCCCAGCAGCCTATCCTAGATTTATTTCCGTGGACGCGTTGCGCAATGACGCGCTACTCGCTGTTAGATAGCTCTCTCTCTTTCTCTCTCTTTCCCTCGAGTATCGCTGACCCTTGCTGTGTAGGTACGGAAGAGAACCGCCGTGGGGCAATCGAATATCGTTTGCCAAAATCACCATCCGACTCTCACTCTTCCCCCCGTTTGATCCGTCGTGATTCCGCGATTTTTCAACGCGTCATCCGGACTCTCGCCGTGGTGAACGTCGGGATGTGCGCGTCACGACATTCGCAATTAAGTCGCGGTACTCGTAATTCAGTTAATTCAAGCGTACAATAGACGGCTGAGGAATATATCCGCCGGGTTACGAGATTGAAACTTGAGGATTACGTGGGTACCTTCGGCCGAGTCTATGCACGTCTTTTCGTTTTGTAACATTGTAAACACAACGTTCGAATCTACAGCAATAAAGCGAGAAACGGATCCGCCGAACGAATTCGTAATCATTTAAATGCTGTATTGACCCAGCGGTGCTGCACTTGAAGTCGTTTAAATACGGGGCTGCGACTGTGTATCCTCTTTCTCGAGTTGATCGCACGCATACAGAGTTAGCTGAACCCGGGGCGTTTTGGCGGCGCTCGGAAACTCGTGAGAACTTGGCGTTTGTATCCCGCTAAAACTGTGGCGGGCGTTTTTCAGCGAGCGCGGCTTAAAGTTCACCGCGATATTCCTTTCGGTTAAAGTATTATTTCCAAGAAACGCCTCGCACCACGGTATAGTAGCAGTGCCATTATTCTCGCTCGTCAAGCGCGATTTGACAAAAAACTCGCGAGGACTCGCCCGCGAGACTACCTGACGCATTCCCGCTGTTTTCGTGACGGAACCTTTACCTCGGAAACACTCATCTTTCCGCGTCGCTCGGTCGGTAGTTACGATTCGCAGAAAAGCAAAGGTACAAACAGGATATCGCCGGGCGCGGTATGACGCGTCTCGATATACCGCTTCGTCATACAAGTTGGCGAGATAAGATTACGCCGGCACATAACCGGGGGAATTCGTGCCTCGCGAAGACGACGCGGCCATGTATATCAGACGTAAAATTATCGGATAGCGACGATGATCTGTCGAATGGCGGGACCGTGGCGCTCGATTCTCGGTGCATTTTGAACGGCAATGACGCGCAAAGTGCTCGGAACTGTGCTCTTCGCTCTCATGGTAGTCGCAATAAATGATGCGTCGATGCGCTCCGCCAGATCGTGCCCGTCGTTTTGCGTGTGCGATACGTGGTACGAATTGCATCGCGTCTCCTGTATCGGCCGCCATCTTTACAACATTCATACAGGTGCGCCGAGCGACGTGCAAGCTATGGACGTGTCGAATAACTCGATATCCGAATTAAATGATTACGAATTGGTGGTGAGTACGCGCGGTGAGCGGACGAGACGTACAGTGCCTTGCAAAACAGTTCAGACACAATGAAGCTGCCAGCAAACTGTCAAAATCGTTACCGACTGACTTACGTATTGATAATATAAGATAAGAACACTGAATATAACGATAAGTAATAATAACACTAGTAATAATTGATATAACAGTAATAATAATTAACGATATAATTAGTAGGGAAAAACCCATCTCTGTCACACACACACACACACGCGCGCACGCAATAATGATCCTCAATTTCAGTAATTTGATGAGCTTTGAACTTCACTGTGTCTAAGCCGTTTTGCAACACACTGTATGTGTTCGTGATGGAATTTTGGGATTCGGTCCGACACTCGAGACTTTGAATATCCTAACGCCTGGATCAGAGTATAGATTGAGGATTACAAGCGAAGCAATCAAATAAAGTGGAATTAAAATTTAAATTATCCGATTGGCTCTATTGTAATCCTCTGTCTGAACAACGGCACTTAATTTAGCGTTACGATTAAATTTAATTGAGAATCCTTAGCGCAAATTATCTGTTGTTACCATCGTTGAAATACTATCCTCGTTAATTATAGAATATTACATATAAAAGTATAATGTTTTGTTGTATATTTTTTAGGACATAGGACTATCGAAGCTGGAATATTTCAATCTCTCAGCAAATGCAATTAGCAATATTGGCCAGTACGCTTTTGAGGGATTGTCCGCATTAACGGTTCTAGATCTGTCACAAAATCACCTTCATTATCTCCTTGCGGAGACTTTCGCACTAGCGAAGAGCTTGCGGATTCTCCAACTGTCGAGGAACAATTTCAACTCTCACGTGCCGAAGCTGCAGTGCCTTTCACTCACGGTAACAATGGGAATATTCTAATAATGTCTAAAGTAACATTTGCTTCACGTAAAGCGTCATGTTCCTTTGGTATTAATATCTTCCAAATATTACTATGCTTAGAATCTGGCTCTGGACTCGTGTCAAATTAGCCACATTCCAGCGGATACATTCATCGGGCTTCCGCATCTTCGTATCCTTGATCTTTCAAATAACTTGATGATTCAGTTGGACAGCGCTGTGTTACGACCATTGAAATTAAAGCAATTATTCATAGAAGGGTAAGGCGACGAGCGGCGAACTGGATATCAAACTAATTTACACATCTTTATGCATTGCATAGAACATCATATAAATTTCTTCGTGTCCCAAAAAGCATTATGCTTCAAAATAATTCATATGTTTTGTATTATATGTATCTGTTTGTTTATTAATTTATAGAACACGTGAACTTTACTTTTGTTTCTATCTGCCAATAGAAGATAATTATTTATAAAAGTAAACTATTTTTTACATCTGATTATTAACGAATTGGACTTAGCAGTTCTCTTGAAATAATTGAAGGCGTCATAAACATATTATAACTTATTTTACAGAAACCAGTGGTCCTGCAACAAACTTATGCACGATTTGGAGCTATATTTGATAAACAATAACATAATACACCGTGCAGTGTGCGACAAAATTCCAGGACCGAAGAAATTTGAAAAGATGATCGTCTACGATCCGCAGATGAAGTATGAGAAGCATCGACCGTCGATCGCAAACGTAAACATAAAGAAAAATACGCAAATACCGAGGAAGAATTTTACATCTGTGCCGACAATCAAGAACATAACAGTTTGCGTCAATGAGACGGAGTCAAATTTAAAAAAAATGCTAAATACCATTTCGCCATATTGGTTCTTCATGATCGGTTTTCTGCTCGGTAGCGCGTGTGGCACTTTCGCGTGTTACATTTGGCTAACGAAAAGGATAACATGCTGTCGCCGATATCGCGAGCGACAGAGCAACGATATTCAAAGAGTCTCGTTGCTGCAGAATCTATGGCAATTTGACGATCCTGCATTCAACGACGGTGAACACGGGACGATATCTTGTCCGGGTACTCCACCGCCGCCGTATCGTGACGTTATGTTGCGCCCGGGACTTTACCGTAGCCCCTCGATTATAACGAATGCGAATAATAACTCTGCCACAAATAGCACAGGACGTACTTAGGTAATTTATTAATTTTAGGTAAGTTATTTGAAACTTATTGACTCTCATTCCTTAAAATCTGATACGCTTGTAAGCATGTACGTGCGTCGTGTTTAAAACACTCTATATTTGTCATTTAAACACCAATGAAATGATTGATATATGTATTCTTTCAATGAGATACAAAAATATTATAGGGTTATTTACGATTATTATTACGAAAGCACTAATGTGAATATATATTATTAGTCTAGTCTTTTATTATATCTTTAAATAAACTTCGCATAATATATGAACATTGCATTGATAACGTTTGATATACTGCCAAATAACAAACTTTTTCGATATTTTGATATATAAAATACTATACATACGTAATACGTTATATATATACATGTATATGCACGTATATATGTATACATACATGTACACATACATACACCACATATACATTTTCATATTAATAAATGATAACGATATTACTTGTTAAGTTATATCAAGCCACGTCGCTCTATGTTAAAACAGATATCCCAAAAAAGCCGAATTGTCTTTCATCACCTCTGTTTGGACGCAATTACAACTACACGCGTGATCGTCGGAGGCGTCCGATCTACTGTGTAGCCATTACGTTGCTTTTGTTCTCGGTATGAATTGTGTTTGACGTGTCGATCTTGCAACCGATTGCAGCGATTATATTATCCGTTATTTCGTGGTTGTATCTCGTTCCGCACAGATTAGTAACCACACTCGCGTCCTGATCCAAGTCCGCCGACGCTAATTCGTTGGGCAGGCTCATACGGACTTCCTCCACGATGCCGTCCTGCACGTCCAAGCGCAAGTTCAGACGATGCGCTTTGCCATCGTGCGCGGTGACTTCAAACGCCCGAGTAACCGTGAATTTCGGCGTTTTACCGAAATTCCAACTCCAGGAGCGGAAGCCGTTGGTTAGTTTATCTAAACCTGTAAATAAAATTTATTGAAATACTCTCAAGTCACATCGTCTAATTATTTCAATTTGGTCGATAACCATGCTCGACGAGAGAAAAATTTTAAATTGTTTCCACTATATTTTTTTTATCTTCGACGATGCGTTTATTAGATGAAAAGGTTATTTATTTCGTTTTCTTATTTCGTTAAGAAATTCCTTATCTGTTAAGGTTTTCTTATTTTGTTTTAAACACACCAGGGAACCATCCTTCGCTTGGATTGATAAACTGGAATCCCATTTGCTTTTGAAGTAATTTATGCCCTCCGTCTTTGAGAACCAGAGCATTCGTGCGCAGATACTCCTTGCCAATGGTGGTTATAAGTTTATCTATTCCGATATTTGAGTTCACGTCAAGCAAATTCTTTATTGGTGAGTGTACAGAAGTTGTCGCGTTCGTGATAATATCATCCTGAAAATCAATATATCGCAATATAACATCGGTCTGTTGCAATATCGCAGCAACATTTACCGTTACAGCATAATTGCGTTACAAAAGCATCTGCGAAAAAAAACTTCGCAGATGATTTCATTCGCTCGATGATCGTATCACAGAAAACTTTACCTCTTTTCTTTCAAGAGCTAAGTTCAGATTGTTCTTATCCACACCAACCAGAAGCGTGCAATGATGATAAGCATTAGGCCGTCCCAACTTTGCAGCTGCCCCGGATATCTGTAAATAACGTAATATAATTAATAGAATAACTAATAAAATATACGTTAGTTTTGAGTTCGATTCTCGAGGTTAGCGAAAAAAATTTTTGCAGACAGTAACTTTACGTAGCCGTATCGTGTCGATACGACAGTATCGAGAAGCGGCAAATAAGAAACAGATACCTAGGCGCGAAATTAATAAATTTGCAGCGAATGTGCGACAGCAAATACATAGTTTCGTAACAAGCGCGATAAGATCTTTTGTTTAGTTTACTCGTGACATTGCTCGTGTATGAAAGAGTTATCACACGAAGCGACATACGTAATGAGCTGTACTTTAAGACGCATTTTGGCTATGTGACTTCTATTAAAAGACCTACTTAGAAGATAACGATAATCGATACAGACACGTGACGGCTACTTTTTGCCGCGTGCTCTTGCCTCAGTAATGAGCTAATAACTGATATTGCTTGACAGGCTAAAGTGATCGACATCTTGGATCTGTTTTTTTATCGTTCAACCAGTGTACACTTGTGGAATTTAAAAAGAAACAAGTATATAGTTGAAACTTGATGGAAAATGGAAACAGAGTTCCAGTGCAAGTTCGTGCGGGTAGTTCAGCGACAAAGAATAAACCTCTTGTATTGCTTTTTGTTCCCACTTGAGGGTTTGCTTGGTGCATTTGGAAGACAATAGACGCGATGATAAGCTGTCTCTTAGAAGTGCGAGCAATTCGGAGCAACGAACAATACATTTACCGAGAAGAATTTGCATCAAAGAATGTACAATTTAATGTGCGCGAACTGCTAAAAGCAACACGACGTGATGAGGAGGATGAAGATTAGAAGATGCTTTTATATTCGACCGAAGAGGATACCTTGTAGTCTCCCTCGACGACGATATCGTCCTGTTCGTCGATCACGCTTTTCAGTCGCCATTCGCGGAACAATGCCCTCGTGATGATCTGCAGATTGTACTTGCGGTTGTACCTCTCCCGCGGTGTGAAGAACGACAAGTTGAGGTTGCCGTTGTCGTGATAGACAGTACCGCCGCCGCTGTTTCGGCGCGCCAAAGCTATCCCTCTCTTCTCGGCCGCCTGGATGTTGCACTCTTTCCACGGGTTCTGGTGACGCCCGTACACCACGCAGGGATCGTTTCTCCACAGCAGCAGCACGTGGCGGTCGGCGAAGTCGTAATTACGGTAGAGCCAGTCCTCCAGCGCCAGATTGGTGAACACATCCGTGGACTGCGATATGAATACTGACTTCCTGATCGAAGGATCGGAGGAAACATCGTCGCCGCCGTCATCGCCGTTGTAATCGACGTAGGTCGACGCGAATCTGGTGGCCTGCTGGGCCCCGTCGCGAGGCATGCAGCGTCTGGCGACGAGGATCAGTCTACCGAATAGAGACATCATGTCGGAGCGCGAAGGAACGGAATCTGCTGATTGCGCCTCGTGGTTGCTCGACTCTGCCTGCGACTATCTGATTTTTTTACCTTAGTACGACGTGGATTACCGATATCTGCATATATATCAGTCATGCATATATATCTGCATGTATCAGTCTTTGTCTAATGAAACGTGAGTGTATATATTTCTATTTTTTATATACCTCGTATTGCTTATGAGATCAGCCTTGAATTAACGTCGACGGTCAATCTCTCTTTCTTGCTCTCTCTCTCTCTCACTCTCTTTCTTTTTTTCTCTCTCTCTCTCTCTCTCTCTATCTCTGTCGGTGAGCGGAGAATGGCTTTTAACAACGTAAATACTTAAAGACGTTGGTTTCACTGGCGGTTATGGAGATCAGATAGTCGTGCAGGGCGATGGTCTGATGCAACCACTTCCAGGTCTGGTCCAGGGTGTTGATGCGGTACCGGATACCCAGACAATCTCGGCAGTCCTTTTGCATTCCTCCGTGTGCTGACAGTTTGAACAAAGTTAAATTTGCCCGCGGCCGAGGTGCGGCTGGTCTACCTGCGATCTCTATTGCGGTGGGCTGGTGTGTCGTTGATTATGGCACGTTGATGCCGACGAGAAACAAGGCTCTCACGCTGTTGTCGTCGAACGGTGCGGTGCGAGCGAGTGAAGTCGACGCGCGAAGACGTGCTCGAATCGATGCTGATCGCAAGTTCGCAATGGATGCTGAAGCCTTCGGATTTGATATTATATTAGCGCGAGCGTACACGTAGTTGACGCTGCGAATCTGAGGTGGAGGGGACAGATGGGAGTTCCTTTTCGTATATGCGAGAGGTTAGGTTAAGTTAGGTTATCTGGGTTCGGAGCACAAAGTACAGCTGACCAGCACGTGATATCCCCGCGACGACACCGATCTCTCTCCCTCTTTGTCCGCTCCGCGCACTACGCCTATCCCCACGCGCGACTAAATTTTGCCTCAAGCGCGTAAATACCGCGATAAGGACCCCCCGTCATCGGGAAAAGGTCCCGATAATCCGATCTGTCGCATTATCACCAGACGTCCTGTTTACGATATATTCAGCGATTTCGTTAATTCGTCACATACAAATTTATAATATGGCCAATGGACTTGCTCCACGGCCAGAATACACATACATACAAATTCACGATAAAAGCAACATTATTAGTCCGTGCATTAGCGGGACTTGGAAATTACGTAATTTTTCTTCCTTTTATGTACTTTGTTATGTCATCGATAAAGTGAACGCGGTGCTCTTCTTGTTGTTTTGCGCACCGATGTTTCGGTTTGCGCGAACCTGCTGTCTTCACGATACAGGTTTCACGTTCTGCCGTCCTGATTTTATGAATATATTTTGATTTGCCAAAGCATATGCGTGCGCATGCGTTCTCTCAATTCTCCTCGCATATTTACGCGTTACTTTGTTTTCTATGTTATTCCGCAAGCGTTGGTGCGTCCGCATTCGTTTGCATTCACAAAGGGACATTACAACGTGCCATTCATCGATTCATACCGTTCTTTCATAAAAGACAATAGTCTAACTGTGCTCATTAATGATGTAAGCACTGAATTACAATGACTTGCGTTAATATTAGTAAACAATGACTTTCGCTAATTTTTTTACTCACACATTCTAGTGAATGTGTCCACGATTATTTTCTTTATTATATCGAAACGCGATATATCTACGTGTCGCAAAGTTATTCACATTGTAATGCGCGCTTAAATACATATTGAATGCGATATTTATATCATTATTAAAGCTCCTGACTCCTCGTCACGGACTTTTAATAAAATAGTCCGAATATTTTTTTTTTCGTTCGTACGATCAATAATCATAAAATTAATGTAACATGTACTTTGCAAGAATTTTTAATGTATATCTTCTCGCTTCTGACATCATAAAGCACGATGACCGCGGCGAGGGACCGATAGCTTTAAGACGGATCCTCTGAAACGAGTACGATCTTCGAGAGCGTCGAATGAACGATAGAAGAGTTGACGCCCGAACATCAGTAATCCCGAGGCGTGACTTCTCTCATGTAACGTTTTATCGAGATTTATTTCAGCCTCGAGTTGAAAACGCGGATTCGTATTGCTCTACAAATACGTCTCGATCGCCGACGACGACTGTCACGGTAAACAGCCTGTGCGTTATCACTCGTAGCCTTCGACGGGAGACACGAACGCGTCCAACTCTGCGATTCCACGCTCCCCCGTGTTTATTCGTCGTATATACACGTATGCTTTCGATATCGCGACTCTGCGTGTATCAGCTAATATACGCTGCGTCGTTCCAATCGTGGAAAGTCGTTCACGTGTCAGTTACTATCACGTACTACAACAGAGGGCAATTAAGGTCTGCCGATAAGTAGATAATCCCGTCCGTGTTTTATTCCGTATGCCGGGTTAACGACGTCGACTCGTCGGGTACTTACATGCGCGCATAGATAAAGAAAAAAAAAGGAAAGGATTAGTTGAATTCTGATAGAGAAATACTAAGATGGAATCAAACGACATATATATCGAACACTTCCTCGACGATACTCGTCGCGGTCTCGAGAATACACGATCAATTCGGTCGGATTCTGCTGACTTGACGGGACATTGCGACTTTACCGCGTCTTACGACGTGAAAAAGATCGATTGGTTAACAGTGCAGTTCGTTTGATTATTGCTACAGCTCTCGCACACACTTAGGTTGATTTTTTTTACGAAAGAGGAGAGATCAAGAGAAGGAATAAGGCAGGGACTGAGGATCAGCAGCGAAACGTGAAAAAAGCAGATGTAGTGATCGACTTACGGAGAGTATGGATTCCAAAGTCCGGATTGTATTGGCGGTTGTATTGACAAAGCTGACTAAGGCTCGATATTCACTCGAGATTACTCCTGCTCCGTCTGTACCGCAAGTGATATTCCGACGCTAAGAAGGGATCGAAACCGGAATAAATTTGATGTGTCCGGATCACGATTCCTGTAAACTCAGTGACGGTTTAGCTTGTTCACGGGCCCTCCTCTACGTTGGATAGTAAACGCTCTACTGCCGATTATGTACTAGCCGTCGTGAGAAACAAAGCCTAAGTTATGCATTATAGTGAATGTCGAGCAATCAATATTAATGAGTTGATTATTTTGATCCTCCTTGTCTCTACACGTATATGTTATACATAAATATATCACAGATACGAACGCAACTTATAAAACAGTATTAATCATTAATCCACGATAAATTTTTTTTCCTCAAAGCGCGGACTTTTACACGTATCTCGCTGTATACGTAAAAAATATCCGGGTATGAAAAGATTCGAGGAAATGATCGTCTAAAATTAAAAATGTCTCGATCGGTAATAACTCTCAGATGTGAGCGTCAGGAAAAACACGATAACGACGAAGAAATGTCCACCGCTTGCACAGTATATACGAAAATAGAATTGTTTCTGTTAATGCGACAAAATAAAAAAAATTACATGAAAACACGAAATACTTTGTCGTCGTAGTAATCTGTTGGATTTTTACCACCGTAGCGCGCGTTACATGTTTGGCAGAAAATGATATCTTATTGTCGCGAAAAAGCAACGATATTAACGAGAATAGACGAATGCAGAGGTATAGTTGATTATCAAATAGCCATCGATACTTATATACACCATATATTAATGCACAAATTATGGAACGCAAAATTTCTCTCTTGACGGACAAAGCGCTCTGCTGTTTTCTTTCTGTCTCATCTTACACCTTTGTCTCTCATTGGTAAAGACTGTTAAAGCGTAGTGAACTAGTGACGAAGCTTTCCTTGTTTAATCAACTGTGCTGAGTACATGCTTCGACGAATGTGTGTCGTGTATATGTGCGAACGCAAAAATTAGGAAATTCAACACATTCCTGCAATAGATAATAAAGCCAACGTATGTATAGCTTATTATTGATTAGTACGAGAATTCAAAGATTATTTGCAAGATGAAATAGTTTACTGTAGCAGTTTATTGTGTCATTTTCAATAAATATTACGTTTATTGCTATTTAAGCATTGTAAATAACAATTTTTGTATTTATGTTTTTGTACTTTCTGTTGCACATCATAATATGTAAACATTACTATATACATGTAATACATATATACAATTACTTGAGCAATGATTGTTGAGTCTATGTATACATAATAGAATGTTTGTTCTGTACGCTCCCTATATTAACTTCTAAATCTTTTTACTGGTTTGGACCAAATTTTGCATTTTACTCTTTAAAGCTGCAAAAAAATATAGGCTACCATAAAACCTGGAGATTCCATCCCCTTCTTCTGATTTCATCCCCTTGACACTTTGTGAAAACTCTGGAAGAGCTGAATAGTTTTAGTTAGTTGTTTATAAATATCATACAACTATGTTGACTAGATATTGTGTGTTTATACGCTTGTTGTTTTCATTTGAATACAATAAAAGTATGAAAACAGCTACCTTATCACTGCGTGATAATTACGCCGCTTTTGATTGGAGTGTACTTGGCGTGACGGTTTTATAACTAATTGCGTCGATTATCTTTTCTAGTATTTCATGGTTATATCTTGCGCCGCAAAAGTTATTAATCACGTTCGCATCTTGTTCGAAGTCTGTCGAAACTAATCCATCAGGCAAGTTTATTGTGACTTTTTCCACAATGCCTTTTTGTACCTCCACATGTAAAGTTAGGTAAATCATACGACATAAAGTGTCTTCGTCTGCATCATCTAAAACTCCTAACTTAGCACGTAGAGATACAGAACTTTTAACTTTTATAACTTCTAATGCTCGGTTGACTGTAAATTTCGGCGTCTTGCCGAAATTCCAATCCCAAGAGCGAAACTCGCTCGTCAATTTATCTAATCCTGCAATTCAAATTTATTGAGACGTTTTAGAGTCATTATCAGCTAATTACTTCACGCTTGATAATCGTACTTGCTTAATGATGAGTTTTTTTTTAGTAAAATAGTTGTTTTCTCTTACGTACCAGTGAATAAATGTTCAGTTGGATCGATAAACTGGTATTCCATCTGCTGTTGAGATAATTCATGTCCTTCATCTTCAAGAATAAAGGCGTTCGTACGCAGATATTCTCTACCAATGACGGTTATGAGTTTATCCATTTCGATATCCGAGTTTATATCAATCAAATTCTTTATTGGAGAACGTGTAGAAGTCGTTGCATTCGTGAGAATATTATTCTGAAAATATATTTAATTCTTGAAGGTCTGTAGAAGCCAAAAGCAAATCCAAATTTAACCCTGAATAAATCTTCCTTGCATGAATGGATACTACAGAGGATACTATAGAGCCTGATTTCAAAAAGCTCGATACAAAAATTATTTTTCATGTTACTATCGTCTGGTTTAAGCATTAATTAATGTTTATTAAACATTATTTAATATTTAAACCGAAATAGTTTAAATATTACACAAACCATATAACATTATTGACGCCTCCTATACCTCTTTACATTCAAGAGCTGATCTTAGGTTATTTTTATTCGCATCAACCAGCAACGTGCAATGATGATAAGCATTCGGTCGCCCCAACTTTGCAGCTGATCCGGATATCTGTAGAAAGCTTCGTGTTACTTTGGTCGATTGTTGTGTGACAGAGAAACAATTTGTCAAATATTACCTTATAATTTCCCTCAACGACGATGTCATCGCGCTCGTTGACCACGCTTTTCAAGCACCACTCACGAAATAGAGCTCTCGTGATTATGTGCAGATTATACTTCCGATTGTATCTTTCTCGTGGTGTGAAGAAGGACAAATTGAGATTGCCATTATCGTGATAAACGGTGCCGCCGCCACTGTTGCGGCGCGCCAAAGCTATTCCTCTCTTCTCGGCCGCTTGGACGTTGCACTCTTTCCACGGATTCTGATGACGTCCGTACACTACGCAGGGGTCGTTCCTCCATAAGAGCAGGACGTGATGATTGGAAAAGTCATAATTCCGATAAAACCAGTCCTCCCATGCCAGATTGGTAAAAATATCCATGGATTGTGATACGAATACTGACTTCTTGATCGGTGATTGAAGAGGAACATTGTTATCACCTTTGTCCTTGATGATGGTTGACATGTATCTAAAGACCTGCTGAATTCTACTATAGGCTACTTGACTCTTTGCTGCGATAATCAATCTATCAAACAGAGCCATTGTGTATAAAGTCTTTTGCCTATATTCCAAGCCTATATTCCAGGCAGTTGAGTGACTCGCTGAACTATCTGGTCAACATTGCTGCAACAAAAATTCCTAATATCACTATTTGTTTAATAAATAATAATATATAATAATAGATAATAGTAGTATTTTATACCAGAAACATACAACATTTAATATCATATTATTAACATCACATTAGGAGAATTTGTTATTTAATATAGGTGGATTATATTGTTACTCCTTTACTCATTTATTACAGATGTCATAACAAAAGATTAAATATCAGTTATACATATGTTAATGTTAATATTTTCATGATATATATATATAGATTTCTAAGTTTTAATATAACCGAGATTATAACTTTATCAATATCATAAAACACTATCTAAAGTATAATAATAATACTTATGTATTTATATATATTTGCATATGCGTGTGTATTAGAATATGGTTGAGGAGATTATAATATGGCTTGCATAATCTTGAATGTTAAGGACACATTGTTACATAAAACTGGTAAAGTATATATATAATATAAAATATATATCATATAAATTAAAATTTTACATGCACTTTATACTGTCCACGTGCTTATTTAGCTGTGTGATTTTTTACTGTGCATAAAATAACCTAGTTGAGCCAATTTCTTAATCTAAAAAGATATCGATTATTTGAATCAAAAGACGTAGAATGGACGTACTTTTACTGAAATTGTGATGTAAAACTTGTATTTTAAATAATTAATAATTTTAAATATATAGTTGCATGCTATGCAATAATGTTATATTTGGTAATTATACAGTTTAGAGGTCTTATCTCCTATTTGGCTGAAATTTAATAATATTGTGTATTTTCACACGTAGAAATTAAATATAAAAGTTAAAATCGTCGCCTTGCTCCGCAATACAAAATATTAATCGTTAAAGTTAACGTATGATAGGTTATGAAACCTGTCATAACGACGAAATGTAGCAACATCACATGCCTTGTGGTCACATGTGCATATAAAAAGTCATAAAGTACGCGAATTTAAAACGTTGTTGAGTACGAAGGGTCCACGGAGCGAAGCCTTCAAAAAACAATATTATAATAAAAAAAATATTAATCTTGCATAGCATGTTAAATACCTTGCGTAGGAGTTTTGCTAATCTTTTCATTATCCATTACTTTCAATTGTGTATGACTAAGTTTACACGGCAACATAAAACCAGTTTAGTAACTACCTTAGTTAGTAAACTTTTAAATCCGATTGGAGTATATTTCTAGATCTAAAAGAATATACCAATCGGATGCGAGAGTTTACTAAATACGGTTGTTACTAAACCGGTTTTAAGCTGCTGTATAAACTTATGGCTCCTGTATACAGGACGCGGTAATGCTTGCCGCGCGGCAGAAGTTCGCGCGACAGCCAATCAATATGCTGCTTTTCGTAATAACCTTCTAGCTTTTACGGAAAAATAACATATATTGATTGGCTGTTGCGCGGACTTCCGCCGCGCGGCAAGCATTACCGCATCTTGTGTGCAGGAGCCATTACGGTTCTGTGTAAAAAGTGAAAATGCGAAAAATGAACGAATTCATTAGATGTTGACCAATGAAATTATAAATATTCTAGTAAATTCGTTCACTTTTCGCATTTTCGTTTCTCACACAGAACCGTAATAAGCTCCCAGTTCAGCAGTGCAGCTGAAAAGAACAGACCAAAGAATTGAGGATGGTGGCGACTCGTAGCGGAGTCTTTGGAATTAAAATAACGGGTTATCATTGAAATTATTGTCATTTATAAAGCATGAACGGGTCAACTATCAGAATGGCCGTTCGTGCCGTTCCTGTCATTTTAAATTTGAGTGAAACTCTTTAGAGTTGATTAATGAAAAGCTCATAGATTTGACACGATCTTTTTTTCAATAAAATATGTCTATACACGTTACTGTGAGTGGGAATCCTGTAAATATACGTCGTGGAAGAATGATATTGTCAGATTTAGATCAAATCAAGAAGAACGAACGTGATCGCCGACGGAGGTTACGTCTAGAACAGGTATATAAATAATACGTTTTACTGAAGTTTTAACCTAACTCGTCTTGCAAATGTAAATAAAATATTAAACTATAAAGCACTACATTATTTTTAGATTTCTTTTAACTCAACCAGATTCTTAATTTTGTAATTTTTAGAGTTGTACCATTTGTGTGTGTGTGTGTGTGTGAAATTGTAAATATTACAAACTTATTATTAAATAATCATATTTTAAAATAACTTAAATCTTTTTTATCTTAAGATTTTACTGTGAATAAATCCGATATGGCACTAAAAGAATTTTTATGTCACAGGTTCGTCAACAATCAAAGGAAATATCAAACAGACTTTTAGAACGTGCTAAAAAAATAGCAAGAGAAGAACTTAACAAATTAGAGAAAGATCCAAAATCAGAGCTTAAACAAATGCATGATAAAAAGATTATGGAGATACAAGAAAAATATCAGGAAGATTTGGAAGATATCGGTCAAGCTCATGTTTCTGCTGCTTTACAACCAGATGTAGATGCAATCTTGGAAGAAGAAGGGAGAAAAGATAGAGCTATGGCTTTAAAAAGAGGAAAAGATGCTGCACAACGAATAAGAGAAATAAAACAGGTAATAAAAGTAATATTTTTGTATCTGTACTGTTAATATTACACTCATAGAAAATGATTTTTGCTGTAATATGATTAATTATGTCTTTAGAAGAGTAGTGCAGAAGTAACTCATCAAGAAAGACTACGTAAAGTACGGGAAGAAGAAAATATGAGGGCAGCAATGATAGCTAAACTTCCAAAGCCAACAACAATACTTGAGGATAATAATAATTCAGAAACAAATTTTTCAGTAGAAGACTCCAATGAAGAAGTTGTTCATGAAAGGTTAACAACAAATAAGAAGAGTAATAAAGTCCTTTCTAAAAAATCACCCAAGAAAAAGAAAACTAATTCAAAAGTATACAATATTTATATACATACGTTATATTTTAACTTATCCATATATTTTTGGAAATAATGGAAAATTCTAATGTTATTTTCTAGGAACATCAAAAGACTTTATCACCAAAACCAGGCCCCTCAGGCTTACAAAAATGTTATAGAATGGTCTCTAAGAAGAAAGCAGCTGATAATGACAATATTAAACATGCAATTGACGCAATCGATGAGCAACTACCACGAAAAACAGTGCCAGTTATAAGCACTACACCAACTAAAGCTGACAAAGTGGCAAGGTACTTTGTTACAAATATATGCTTATCCAACTATTATTATTTAACATTTCATAAAAACGCTTCATAATATTTCAGATACAATCCAGATGATTATACGCAAGATAGATCGGATACAAGTAGCATCAGTAGTAGTAGCTCTAGTTCAGTCAGTGATGACTCCTCATACTTTTCTGATGTTGCAGAACAGGTTACATGTAAAACTACAAAAACGGGTGTTTTGACAGACAGCAAAGTACGATTGTATGATCACGATACACGTCAAAGAAATGTCTACAGCATGCCCCTTGGCATAGTTGAAAGAATTGATATTGGAAATGAGGTTGGTTCATCATATTATTGATTCATGTATTATTTGTATATCCATGAATCGTAAGTTTTTATTATAGTTTGTAATACATTTTTTTGCAACATTTTTGTAATAGCCAAGTGCGATAGAAGCAGCACGAGCTATGAAAGATATAGAGAATACAAAAACACATACAGCTATAAATCGTAAATTAAGTGCTCAGCGCCGTGGTCAGGATGCGATTTTACGAGAAAGAGTACGGAGAGACTATCAAGCTCTTATAAAAAATTTGGAGCATCTCGCACAAGAAGAACGCAAACTAAAAGCTAGTCAAATACATTCTAATGTGGTGAGAATATTATAAATATATAATATATTAATGATCATGGAAAAGATTCAAATGTTTCATATAAAGACATATTTATATACAGTAAAATTGTACGTGTTCAAATATTTTTATGTTCAATTAGGAGGAAGATACATACGCGCGATTACATCAGAGAAATAAATGCCAAGAAGAGCATCGAAAGAAGATGAATCGTGCAGCTAAAAATGTTCTATGTACAGATAGTATACCAAGCCGATATTCTCATCTCGCAGAGAGAACGACGACGTTACCGATACAGAAGAAAGATGGAATACATAGTGACGTGCCTCATTCAACGTGGCAAGAACCTCATCTGGACGAGGAGGAGATTACAGTGTGTCATACACAACAGGATCAGGATAGCGAAGTATCGCGCGAAGAACAAATACTAGATATGTTAAAAAAAGTCGAAAGACAAAAAAGATTACTACTGAAGGAATTTGGTGCAAGTTTGCCTGATAATATATTCAATGCCAGTATAAAACCGCTCTTTGAAAACAGAACACCGACTCAAGCAACATCAGTTGCGGATGCTGTTAAGCCTCTGTCACCTGAAATCACAGTCATTAATATGTCTAATTACAATGAGTGTGCAAAAAAAGATCGTAAGGCAAAGAAGAAGATGGAAAGCTCGCCTACAAAAAAGATAGAGATTGCCGTACAGGCAGTATTGGATAAAATTAGTCCGGCGGAAGATAAGAGTGTACAGGTAGAATTACCTCAAGAAAATGTCAATATACCACATTCCAGTAGAGATACATCTGCTCAGGTACCTCATCCGATCGAGCCGCAAGTTACCGTCATCACACCGGAGACTGATGATAGTAGTAACGATTCAACGAGTTCGGACGTTACTGGGATGATAATTGAAATCGATAGAAAAGAAGTGACGGTAACACCTAAAAAGAGAAAAAGTCTAAAGGTCTCAAAGCGACCGTCACCTCGAGTTTATCAAAAGATCCGCTCAACGTCCGTTAGTTCTAAAGGTACATCGCCTATGAAGAGGTTCTCGAGGTCTCATTCGAGCTCTCGCGTAACTAGTCCTCAGAAGAAGACGAAGTGTGTGGATGCGCCGGATACAGCCAGCAGAAGAGTAGATATACACGTGAGCAAGTCTGCATTTAACGATGAAACTGACCCGTCGCAAGAGACGAGAGTGTCGATAGACGCCAGTGCGGAAAGTTCACAGACGTTTTCAGGCGTAAACGATCAAGACGGATCTACAGGCAAACCGTATCGCATTCGAACGCAAATGAAAAAGTGGATTCGAATAAAGGATACCTCAGATACAACGTCGACGTCGTTCGCGAGTCCACCGCCAGTAAAACCTCGATCGATGCTTGACGCTTTGACTAACATCACACCGATCCTAGAGATCTTAGATTCTTCGGGAACCGAGGAATTAAGACGATTACGACAAGACATCAGCCCGGTATCCACACCGGAAACTCCTTCACCGCGTACAATGAGAATGCCATCGAACATTCCACATCGTGATAAGATTAGCAGGATGCTTAGATACAATTCGAATGATTCTAAAAACAACAATAGTATTATACTGTCATCAACACAAAACGACCAGACTTGTTTAACAGATCCATCAGATGCTACTCCACAGGAAGCTGCAGCGCCAGAATACCGACCGGCTTCTTCGCAACAGCCATCAGTACCATCAAAAGTCTGTACATGCAAGAATCCTAAATGCAAATTGTTACACATAAAACTTGATGATATTCACGAATATGCATTGAAGAATTGTCCCGAGATGCTACAAAAATATGAAGATCTGCAAAACTTATGCACGGAAAGAATAGCATCTTTAACTGATCTCATTGAAAGAGTACGAATTGAACAAAAAGGTAAGATGTTACTGACGAAATTATCTATTTTACTATTTTTTTATATTTCTTATCATTTGGTTCTCTTCACTGAATGGAGTCAATTTGTACTACACAAGATTTTGTATTTGCCACTTGTTTACAATACTCTTTAATTTAATAGAACGTATATCTTTTGTAGGAAATTTTTAAAGTAATATTACATACACTTTTTAAAGTAATATTACATACAATTTTTAAAGTAATATTACATACACTTGCAGATATGGATCTTTCATTAATCAGTCCCAGTGATGAAACGAGTTTGATGCAGTTACCTGTGCCCAGACCAGCGCGTAATGATGTGCAAGCAATACGCAAACTAATTGAGAGTATAGAAGCAATTCATTCCCAGCTTGCAAAAACTCTCTTTGAATCGCAAAAAATTATAGAAAATGGGACCCCCGACAACGAACTTTCGCGCGATGTAGAAGTTCAAGTGACCACTTCTACTCCTAGAAGTAAATCAATAGATACAATTACAATTCCTGTACAGAAATCCGAAGTAGCAAAAGACAAAGCTAAGCCAAAGGTTATAAGTGACGAAAAAGTTAATATACAGCTTAATCAATTTAAAATACAGCAAAAACCTCAAGCTATGTCTGCAATAAGAACACCAGAACGTAATTCTTGGCCTCCACGTGCACTTTCTCTTCATGAAGAGGAGGTAATAGAGAAATTGTCGAAAGAAATTTTGGAACAAAGCAAAAGTCTGGATAAAGCGAGTTCCGCTTTTGTTAGCTTAAAAGAAAATGATGGAAGTTCTATGCAAAGGAAAGTGTCACTTTCTAATGATGTTAATCTGAAAAATAATACTTCATCAGCACACAAAAAGGATAATAATATTACAAACCTTATCGAAGAGGTAATATTTTTGTATGTATATGATTACTTAAATCATTGTAATTTTGCGTCATATATATATGATATATATATATATATATATATATATATATATATATATATATATATATATATATTTAACGTTTAAAAAATAATTTTGAAAATTTTGTGTGGCATATAAATATCACATTTTATATTTTTAGGTAACAAAGAAAAACGATTTTATTCCAATATCTGCAGGCATTCCCAAAATAGCACGTAGTCATGGAACTGTGACATCAATAATTGCAAGGCCTAAACCTCCTGTCACATTATTAAATGCACCACATTGGTAAAGTTTTCTTAATGGTTGTATATTAGTACAAATTTTCAAGTTACGTTATTTTAAATTTTTTACATGACGTATATACTAATCATTTCAATGTTTCAATCACACATAGGCAAGAATTAGAATCATCAGGGCATGAATTATCAACGATAGCGGAGTTCGACACAACGGATACAGCTAATAAAAGTATCAAGAGTCCGACAAAATCTAAAAGTGTGGCTATAGATATCACGGAAGATTCGCAGAAAATTTTATTAAAAAGAACAACAGATACGGAGCCGTTTAAGTCTGCTATTACTGTAAAACCATCAGTACATGTGGCTCCTTTGCCTGTTCAACAAAATCAAAACCTTCCTGAGAAAATAATGAATTCGACAACCGGCATAAAACATTCTGCTGAGTTAACTTCTATGCAAAAATCACAAGAAACTACAACCATCTGTAGTTCTCCGACAAAATCGAAAAATGTGGCTGATTGCGTTGTGACAACAAAAATTGAAGCTGAACGGGATTGGGTAGATTACACACTTGACAAATGTAACAAACAGTTACAATGTAACACAACCACCGAGGAGCTTGTTCTTCAAACAAAAGATTTATTTGCGCTCGGTTCTTCTTTAAGTACAGATTTTAATAATCAGTGTAAAAATAGTCAACATAAAACAACATCCACTAGCTTAAACAGCTTCTCCGGATTGTCTGGAATTTCTGAAATAACGAGTTCTCCATCATCAGATCTTTTGAAATATGCTTCATCTCCGGAAGAAATGGAAACTGCCCTGAAGAAGCTAGGTTTGAGTTGGGCTGTTACGACATTGAAGAAGACTCGAGAAGCAAGCGCTCTTAGTTCATCCTCAAATTCAGATATCACACCGATAAATACGGCCAGAAGGATGATTTCTCCAACCAAAAAACATCTTGATCCAAGTGGCCTTCCTAACATTAGTGATGTGTCGTCGATATCGATCAAAGAGACCAACAAGAGTACAGAGCAAGCTGTCCTCTTGAAAGGAAGAACTTCCACACCTAAATTTCAAAACTCAAATTCTAACAGTGAGAGATCCAGTACCACAAATACATCTGGAAGCCTCCAAGAGCCAAGCGATAGTTTAACTGTACCTAATGTGTCACTCACAAAGACAAAATCTGATAATAAGCAATTACAGAGCCTCTGACATAAAATGTTTTATATGTATAATTTCATTAATTACTTATTAGAGATATATATATTGCATTTTGGTGGAATTTTATGGGGGATTATAATTGCATGCGTAAAATAGGATATTCTTTACATGGGCTCATTTTCACAAATGTTGATATATAAATAATTTTTATTGTGACCAGAAAAAAAGAAATGTTATAATTTTTAAAATGTGCTTGCATTTTTGCTACAAGTAACTCAAAATATTGAAATATTATAAGTATTATGGGGATTCATGAGGATTATTAATTATATTTAATGTGATTAAATAACAGATCTGCTCATTTAGTTTACTCAAATTATGGTGAGAATCAACTAAACAGATGTAAGAATAAAAATATGCACAAAAATTTATATGGAAAAAGAAAATCTCAACATCAATGAAAATTAATGAAACTGGATGACTATTTTTGTAATTTACTGATAACGTATGATGTTTTAAATATTTCTTAATTAACTATAGATTTCTAAACAATATGAAAGTTGTCAAGATGTTACACAATGAAATATCTTAGTATATTATTTAGATTGCACTGAATGTAACAAAACTAAACGTTGCAGCCAATATTGTTTCCTAATATCTTGCAATTGTTTCATAGAAAACTCAAAAATTTATTTTTCATTTTGTGTGAAATAAAGAGAAAGTTATGTACTAAACTAAAAAAATTATTAGCTCTATGTTACAATTGTAAACAGATGAAATTGAAAATAGTAAATTTATACAACACTATCATGTTCAACTTTCAATAAGATACAGATTAATAACTTAAAGCATGATATTACTGGAATATTATGTCACTAAGAGCATAAAAAATTAAGACTGACAACAGTTTTAGATGTGAATGGTTTTAAAAACAGCAATTTTAAGTATGAATAGAAAATAAGAATTTGTAAAATAAGGAACCTACAAGAGATAAATGTACTTATAACAAACAAAAGATAGATCCTACAAGATATGTATTTTTATCATTCCGATTTTTTATATTTTGTATTTGTTTTAAATATACACAAATATATATATATATATTTTTTTTTATTTATGCATCAGTTTTTTTCCTATAAATTAAAGTATAAGTCGACATATATGCTTATGCACAGTAATACACTTAATACAGTAATATACTTAATTAAACCTTAACACTTATTTGTGTATATTATAAAAAGGTAAAAGTGTATATAACAAAATTTAAGAGGTTAATTATATATATATATATATATATATATATATATATATATATATATATATATATATATATATATATATATATATA